TCTCTGTAACCCTCCACTAACACAGTCTCTGCCCAAATTGGAAAAACACGAAGCTGCTGCTCCCGCCGCCGCCACCATCGTCGCTGCCAACACACTCCGCCCTAGCCTGCATTGGCGCTTGAGGCTGGGTGTGCCACCCGGGGTGCCTCTGCATGCCAGGCCTTGCCCAATGGGGCTGGAGCACCACGCCGCACGTGCCTGGCCCTCCAGCTGGCAGTGCCATCTGGAGGGAGGAAAAGGTACAAGGAGAGAGCAGGCGACAAAAGAAGCATGGGGTTCAAAATGGAAGAGGTGACAGAGAGACAGAGAGAGAGAAGGGGATGCCTTGGGTCCAGGGAGGATAGCCATCCGGTCCTAAAACACCTCCACGTAAGCACGTCCCACCGACACTGGCATTGCCACCCTGTGTGCTCCAGACTGTGGCCTCACAGGGGAGAACAGAGAGCACCAGTGCTGGAATCGGGAGACCTGGGTTCCAAACTGCTCTCCCTGGGTGACCATCCAAAGGCCACACTCGCAGACTGACCTACCTCACAGGGTGGGCGCAAAGGAGGAGAGCCACATACATGCTCTTGAGGAAGAAAGCCAGTAAGGCAGAGGGAAGAGCTGCCTGCAAGAACCCCTCTGCTCTCTCACATGGCCAGCCACTCCCTCCCATCCTCACTCTTTTGCCCTCTGAACAGATGCCAGCTTCTTCTTCTTCTTCCAGAGCGCCTTCTGCAATCTGAACTGCAGGAGCAGGGGGCAGGGGCAGGGGGGGAGCTTCAGAGGACCTGGCATCCCGCTAGGGGGGGGCATGCCACCCCCACCGGCTGGGAAACCATTCCCTACCTCTCTCGCCTCTGAGGCTGCAGCTCTTCCTGGGCACCACCAGATGAAGCCTTCCCCCAGCAGCGCACAGTTGCTAATCCAAGGGAAGGAGAACCGCAGGACTTCTCTCTGCGTTGTTGTCCGCAGCGGCACAGTGGAACATTCTGAAGTGCAGGCACCCTCCTGACACTCCCCAGAGCCACACAAGACAGAGGAGAGTCCCAGATTTAGACAGCTGCCTCGGTCGGTCGGGATCAGCAAACCGGGGCTGGCAGTTTCCCTCTTCACCACCACGGCCGGGATCAAGCCTTATGTAAAGTTAGTGGCTCCTAATGGCTTGCTCAAGAACAAACCTCAGCCCCAATACTTCGCATCACAGCAGGGGGCCACTCAGAACCATATGCTGCACCACAGAATACTCCCCCCCCTCCAAAAGAAGCCCTTTCAAACTACTACAAGGAGTACAGTTCTGCTCAAGAAGGGGCAGCGAAGCCTCTGCAGGGGGGCAGGCGATGTCCCAGATTTTAGGGAGCTGCTGTAAGCCACAAGGAGGCCCTGCTCTGCGGTGGGAGCCATGTAGAAGAACAAAGGCCTGGCTGAACCTGACACAGTCTGCAACAGGGAAGGGAAGGGCGGCTGGAAAACCGGCCCTCCCCACCAGAGCAGCCCTCTCTGGATGCCCCCAGCGAACGTCTGCTGAACACTACAACCAATTATAAAGAAGAATGAAGTTGAACCAAAATGGGCACAAAAAAAATTCAATCCTCAGCTTTTTGCTCAGCCACAATGGCTTTTTGCAAGTTGGAGAAAGGTGTGTGTTTGTTAAAGAGCGAGAACCGGCACATTTAGGGAGCCACAGATAAAGCCACGGGCAGGAATCAAAGGAGATGTGAAGTTTTTAGCAAGCATTCCTGGGAAGGCCAGTTATGGTGCCATGGTTCAGTGTGTGGGGCGGCTGACCCGGGAGACCCACCTTCAGCCTCCACTCCGAGCCATAGAACTCACTGGGGGACCCTGAGCCCTTCTCTATCAAGAGGCCTGGCCTACCTCACAAGAGTGGTTGTTGCAATTAAGATGTGGGTAAGAGGAGGAACTTATATAGAATGCCTGTGAATTTGTTATGGCAATGCCTGCAGGAAAGATGAGGGCTAACCATAACAAGCCTATAAAGAAGAAACAAGAGGCAGGTTGGGTATCCTTGTCTCAGACTCCATTGTTGTGCACACTCGCACGCGACTTTTGCCCAGCCGAGTGCAAATCTCCTGCTTTAGGTGGGCATTGGCCTCCCCGGTTTTGAATGGAAGAGCCGGCCGGTGCTCTCACCTCTTTCCAGCATGGATAGCCAGCTCAGTGCAGGAGCTCAGGTGTCGCCCACCCGCCTGAAATATTTATGGTTGAAAAGCGATCCGATCTGCTGGCAAAGTAAGATCTCCTGTGGAGGAAGCACATGGCTGAGTGAGTGGCTGGTGGAGGAGAGGGAGAAGGGGCAGGGCAGGCGGCCTCCGGCTGCAGAGACCTTTTCCAGAACACAGAGGGATCCATCCGGCTGCAGAGGGTGTTTTCAACTGCCCATGTCTGCATTCTGCCTTTCCTCCTCCAATCAATTCCAGGTGGTGTATATGGTTGTCCTCTTTTTCCTTTGCCCTCCCAAAAGCCTCAGGCTGATGGGTGGGGTGGCTGTCCCAAGAGTTTCAACAGGTGAGAAGGGGTTTGAACCCAGGTGTCCTGACTCTTGAGCCCAACATGTTAACCACCATCATGGCTTTCTCGCCTTAGGCTATAAATCAAACAAAATAGGTAATAACAATAACAGCACCACCAACAATAATAAACCCTCTCCACTAGTAATGGAGGCAAAGGGGACATGGAGGACAGCGAGACCCCCAGTAGGGCTAGACAAAAGAGAAGACTAGAATCTGCTGGAAGATCTCTGGGCGATTTGCAATAGATCCACTAGAATCTCAGGCGGCTTTAGCTACAGAAGAAATAAAGCCACCCCCCTTCCCTCCTTCCTTCCTCTGTCCAAGTTATCCTGCTAAGGAGAAAAAAAGATCAGGGACCCCAAGAACAGAGTTGTCTGGAGCTCAGAATAGTTACTTTTCTGGACTACAGGCAGCCGTGCAGGCTGAAAATGCTGGCAGAGCCCAGGGTTCTAGTAAAAAGCAGAGCGGATCTGGCAAACCTGCCGAGTCCGCTGCTACTCAGCCCTGCCTTTAAAAACCTGGACGAGAAACACCAAAGCCAGGGTATTCGGGCAGCAGAGGAGGAGCCCAGTGCTCTTCACCTGATCGGGGACTCCGCCCCTCCTCACTAGCCCTAACCCAGAGCTGCTCCAAGGAGACCAGAAGGGAACCCCCGAGGCTCTCTGGCAACCAACTGATGCTGCTAAACTGGCTGCAATTGGGGAGGTGAGCTGGGAAACAGGTTGACTCCAGGTATGCCTGCAAAATCAGAGCAGACAACGTCTGGTGGGAAGGGCTGGGAAGCGGGCGTCCAGCCTCCAACCACCTCCACCCCCATGGACCCAGGATCCCCTGTCCAATGTTCTAGGCCACCCGAGGGCTGGCACAGAGAACAAGACCTGGAACTAATCCCATGTTCCAACGCCCCGTGGTCACCTTCTCCTTCATGCAAAGGTCATTTCAGTTATGGAGACCTGGCAGCCAGAAAGCTTGGCAAAGCTCCAGCCATCAGGAACACCAAGGCAAAAAGAGGTCTAGCTTGCTCTCCCCCCCCCCCTTCCCCATGCTTTGAGAACTATGCCAGCGCCCCCCCTGCTGCTCTGAACCTCCTTGGTTAGACAAAGGATCTCCAGGTGAAGGGACCTTGCCATCCAAGGTGTAGGTGTGGGCACAGGGGTGGGGGTGGGTGGGGGCACAACCTGGTCCACCAAGCTCTTTTCTGCTGCCACAATGCAGACAGACAGACAGACAGACAAGGGGGCGCCTGGAAGTCTAATATGTCCTACTGCGCATATGTTTTTGCTGACTGCTCTAGTCCACTTCTCCAAAATGGGGAGGCTACTGACATGGATCTGAAGGGGATGGAAGCTGCCAAAGCTCCTGTAAAACAAAACAGGCCCAAGTCTTCCTGGTGCCACAATGTTCTCGGTGGATTCTGCGGCCACCAAGAGATGGCTTAGGGGCTGGGCTCAAAAGCCGGACACTGGGATTCTTCCCCTGTCTCGGCTCCCGCCCCCCCCCCAGGAAGTGAAGGCCTGAGGAAAGGAGGAAGGGAGACCCATTTCTCTTTATTGCCTCCCCTAACGCAGCAGCAGCCTTCAGATGTGTCCCCCTAGAACTGCCACCATTCCCAGATGGCATGGATTAAAACTGAAATGAGAAAGCCTGGAAGACGGCGGAGAACAGAAGGTCTGCACTTTTGCTCTCCAGAGAGGAGCATTGCAGCCATCCCCCCCCCAACCCCTGGCTTTGCAGTGACGACGCCCTCGGGAGCCTCCCATTGTCCCCCCTATGCATGGGCGTGCACACACAACCCCCTTGCACCCCTTCCTCCCTCACAGCTGTGACCTTCCGAGCATGTCGGGCTCCCGCTCCACTCAGGAAAGGAAGGAAGGAAGCCAGCCCGCCAGCCCTTCAAGATCAGGGGAGGGGAGGGCCTGCGGCCAGCCAAAGAGTCCTCCACCTTTGGCTAAAGAGTCCAGATTGCACCTCCACAGGTAGAAATGGCCGGGGGGGGGGATGCTCAGTCTATGGCCGCAAGGAGCAAGCGGAGACACACTAGAGAGGAAACTGCTGTGACAGGCTAGCTTGATGATGGGAGCACAAGTCTGTGTGCAGAAGCTTCTGGGTTGCAAACCACCCCCACCCCCCCATGAAGGTGACGGAAGAAGCCTGGAGGATCACTGCCAGCCAGTTAGAACCCCCCCCCCGAACACACACATACACACCTCCGTTTGTGGGTTACCTCTTAGGACCTTTCCCACCAGGTTTGCCTTTAGCCCAGTGGGCTGTGTGTTTTAAAAAGGAACTTATTCCAAGTTACTGCCCAGGACGTGGGATAGCCTGCCATCCTGTCTTCCAATACCAGATGGGGCAACTGCGGTGTTAACCCGTGGCCACAAAAGACAACAGCTTTGAACACCGTACATTTATCGTGGCGGTGGAGGACATTTTATCACATGGGAGAAATGTCATTGTAGGGTGAGGCCCAAATTACTGGGGGGAGGGGAGAGACAGAGCACATCTGATTTGCAGGCTGCTCATGGATTGTGGCCGGGGAAGGGGCACCTCAGCCCAGAATTTTGCACAGCTGTGGCACTGACACCACCCGGCTCCAGTCACAAGCCACGGACCCCAAGACTGAAACAATTTGTCCCAAAACTGAAAGAAAAACTGATATGGAGGGAAAGAGGGAGACTGGGGTCGGGGTGTGTGTGTGTCAGCTCAAGATCTGTGCTCTTCTTTTATGGTAAAGCCAGCAAAGGATAACACATGATGGTGAACAAGCCAGTCAGATCATGCTGTTAGATTTTTTTAAAAAAAAAGTTAACTCCAAAACATGCATTCCTTCCTTGCAAACAAACAAACCCCATATTCCTGCACTGTGTAGTTGTGCAGTATGTTTTTACTGGCCCAGCACACCTCCTCAAATACCAAAGAGTTCAGAAAAAATAGCCTAAGACTAATTTGTTTTTAGAAATTACTCAGGGGGGGGGGAATGCTGTGAGGCAGAATATTCAGAGTTCAGCAAAGGCGGCACAGAAATCAGAGCGTGTCGGGCACACAATATCCCAAAGCCCGCCTCATTTGCTGGCGGAGGCGGCAGCTTGCAAAACCCAGGACAGATGAGCCCAGGTAGGTGGGCAGAGCGGGAGGCGCAGCTCAGGTAAATGGCGCAACGGTGGCACATGCAAAGGGGCACAATCCTGCCCACGTGGACGGTGAAGATCCACATCCAATGCTCCTCGAACTGGTGCAGCCGAGGACGTGACCAAGGGTCTCTGGAATCACTTTCGGTCACCTGAAACCGTCTGAGGGCCATCCTGCCTGGCCCCTGGCACTCGAACACCTCTTTCTGCAGCGACAGCAGGCCCTCCCTCCCTCCCTCCCCAAGCAGGATTGCACCGTCCGGGGTCAGCCATCGGGCAACCTCACTGCTCCTGCCTCGCTGAAATTCTCAACGACACCATGTGCAAGCTAGGGAGTGTGCGTACGTGTCAGATTTTTGTAACAGGGAGCTCACAAATGAATGGGTGAGAAAAGTTGAGGCCAAGAGTGAGCCAGTGGAGGGAAACCAAGAGGGTTCAATTCAAGGGATCTGGAGTGGGTGTGAGGGAAGGGGAGGGCTTCCTTCTGCCCAAGAGGTGCAGGCAAGCAGGACGGGGCCAGGAACCCCTCCCAAACACACCCACAAACTTTCCAGACAGCCAGGAAGCTGCTCCTCCCTGCGGACCAGGGCCACACCTCTCTCTCACCAGAGAAAAAGAATCCTCTTTGACCCACAAAAGCCGGTCCCTCGGCTTCCCTGGTCCGGAGGCCTTTTGGGGCTACCTGGGGCCTGAGCTGCCCCTTAGCTCTCCCCCTCCCTGCCACAGATGCCCCACCAAGCTTGAGTCAAAGCACCAATGCACAAGCAAAGAAAGGGGGGCTGCTTCCCACCTTTCTGGCGAGGGCCTGGGGGCCACCTCTGCCGTTTGCTGTAGCTGTACGAGGGCCACTGGCTCTGGAAGAGGGAGGGAGCCAAGCAAAGTGAGGGCAGAGGAGGAGGGACGAGAGGGAGCAGCCCTTTCCTTTCAGAGCCATCCGATGATGCCAAGGGCAGCACGACTAGGCAGCGTGCAACCCTCGCCCGCCTGGAGCCCCTCCGGGAGATGCTGCACAGAGACACCTCTCTGGAACCCCTCAAGGTTGAGGAAAACATACTGCGCATGCAAGCAAGAAAGCCACTCCCCGTTTGATCCCCAGAACCCCATAAGGAAGGTCAGGCTTTGAGGGCATGAAAGGCCTGAAGTCACCCAGTCCATTTCAGGGCAGAGTGGGCCTGGGAACTCGGCTTCCCCAGCTCTTAAAACAGCACCCTAAAGAGTGGGCCTGGGAACTCGGCTTCCCCAGGTCGCTCTTAAAACAGCACCCTAGCCATGACACCGGAGTGGCACAAAACAGGCTGGGATGGAGCAGGCGGAGAGCCAGCTGGAACAAGAGCACAAGAGGGCACGACACCAAGGGTGGCTGAGTGGGGGCTTCCGAGACGGAGTCGCTTTCCACACAGAGAATTACTTGCAAAGGAGGACGAGCGCCCACCCGCACTCCCACCAGCCGCCGTCTGCCACCTCCTCAAGGAGGCAGGGCGGGTGGAAACGAGGGACACACAGAGGGAGTC